CTGCTGCTGTCTAACCTACATGTATCAGAGACTGTATCACACCGCAAAGTATCTGATAATAAATGAATAGATAGATAAACAAATAAATATCAAATATATAACGGACACATAAATTTATTCGACATTTTCAATAAATTAATACATCACTAGATCAACGGCACAGTTGAGCATTCTTTAGAGTAACGTCGGGCATGACTCATCAAGGTGACAGGTACATTCGTGTTTTCTCCTCAAAATCAACGAGTCTTCTGTATAATAGTATAAATTAATTCGATAGTCAGCTACATAAAATATACAATAAATAAATAAGTTAAACAGGAGACAAGTCAGGAATGATAAAATAAAGCTATGTTAACGTAATAAAATTATAGAGATATGAGTCATGCGCGGCACTCAACATACACCTCTCGGCACTTGCAACTATGCGTAAAATTATGGTCAGATGTTATAAAATAGAATAAATAAATAAATTAGCAGTAAAGAACGGTCACTGAAATAAATTAGAAGACAAAAGACATAAATAGTTGCGTCAATACGTGGTGAGAGCGGAGAGATATATATACGCGAGATTGAATTTTATGCCGTTTTCAGGTAATACGCCGGTGTGACCAGTTATACGATACATTAAGTGAGCCGATGGACCAAGTACTTAACCGATGACGTGGAATAGTTGGGCTTATCCACTGGATGACGCACCGAGGGCCCAGGAGACTCAGAACGCGCGCACTTCACCGAAACACAGACACCTCGCAGATTACCGATTATTGAGACCTGGCCGGTGCTCTGGGGTAATTAAAAGCGATGCAGCTAAATAGAATGCGCTTTTCCCCGTGCACTGGGCCGAACTCCACGATACTGCAATACGGAGCCGACCCGCGGCAGGGTCGGAGCAAGCTCCGTGCACCCGCCAGGTCTCAAAAATCAGTTTAATATTCTGAGTCTCCTATGGAGACTGTATCAGATATTAAATTCGAATCACCACGTGTTTGCTTTTTCATACAGTTCATCACCGCGTCTATTAACGGAAGTGTTCGCGAGGGCACGAGGCGACTAGGTGTTAATAGCAAGTCCAATATTGATTAATCGATTAATTCATAATTAAAGCAAGAATTCCGATTGTTTCTGGGAGCAAGATGTTGTGCACATCCGCACTTACCATGAAGGAAACATCGGACTTCGAGCACGTGGTAGCCCCTGCATTCCGACGTGACGCCGAACCAATGCATAATTGGCTCGCAGCCGAATGTGATGTCCTAACGCTAACTTTTTAATGAAATATAATATATACCTAAAGCCTCTGTCGAATGCTTAAGGCACGGAAAAATCGCGCGGGGCGCAGTAACGCTATACGACATCTCGAATATGATCTTCATGTGGCCGCGATTTTCGATTACAACGCAATCATCGGCGAGGAGATAATCTTTGACGGGGAGTACGAGCTCCTGGTGCACGATCGTCTCTGGAGCGCCCTGCCCGCGCAGTCCGCACCAGCCAGCACCATCCAAGAACCCCGCTCCCAGCCGCGAATCTCTCTCCAAGACTATTTGCAGAGAGCTTTCAACGAAAGGTAAGTAGCTAAATTGTTAAACAAATTATTATAAGATGTATGTATACGCGTATATTTCTCGCGCTATTTTTCCTGTTGCGTCAGCCGAACGTGTCCGTGCAAGTTCAACGATCGCTTCTACAAAGGGAATGCCTGACCGGAAGGGTTTACGACCGACCCCTTTGTTTTTTTGGGCATAGTTTTTACCTCGTCCGACGACTTCACTCGGGAAATGCACTCTTAAATGCTTGTTTCAAATCTTCTAGCTCCGATAATATTCCGTAATATTATTCAACGACACGCATGGATGCGTTTTACCTTCGCGGATACTATTAATTAATTAGTGTGATGTGCTTCCCTCGGTCTGATACCACCCGCGGTTCGCGCACGCATCCAGCCGTCGTATTCCAACATTGCGTCGGTTCAGTGCGCTGCATTACTTCTTTCGGTTATCGCCGCGTAAATAATTCAGCTGCCGACGATTATCCTAATAGCGCCGAGTTTCTCTGCTATCGTTGTAGGGAATTAATACCCGAGGGCACCCTCTCTTACTGCTTGGAATTAACTCATTCATTTCAATTCGGATTCACCGGGTCCCAAGA